TTATTCACTAGCTATTCGGGAATCACTATCCGCACAAGTTAATTGTTAGTACTACCGTAGTACCAAATTTTTGCAACCGATGTTGCAAAACGGTCGAAGGAGTCTATCGGTACTTAAAATACGTAGGGTTTTACGTAGGCTATAACACGTCACTTAGCCCCACTCCATTTACCACCGTACTTACCTCCCCTACATGAATTCTGGTAGGATTTCTACTGTGCAACCGTATTGGCTTTTCTGCTGTGGTCGCATCCGTACCTCTTTTGGTTGCCTAACACAGAGCAATTTACACTGAGTATGCAACCATTTTGCAACTCCTTTTTGCCTCGTCACGAGAGGTGCATTTTTTGCTCACTTTTTGCTCACAAAATCAACTCTCGCAGTATCGCATACGAGTACCAGGGGTTCAAGCAAAACCCCAAGCAGCAAGAAGAACAAGCAAATACTGTAAGTATCGAAAAACAGCAGCACAGCACAGCACACCAGCACAAACACCAGTAGCACCACAACGCAGCCCCCTGACTCACGAGAGGTGCATTTTTTGCTCACAAAATAACAGATGAGTATCGCATACGATACGAGTATCGCAGCAAAACCCCAAAACAGCAGGGACGTTCCGAAACAGCGAATTTCCACGTACGCTTAGCTACCAGATCTCCGACTAGTGCGACTACGGTAGATTGTTGCTGCAATGTTTAGCACGCTGACTATAAATAGGGGGATACGAGAAACTATTTCTTCAAAATTCGATTTTTTTTGCTACCAGAATTCGACTACAAATCGACTAGAAAAGGAATACAAACCGGATTTAAATCTGATTGATATCTAATTGATATCTGATTTAAAGTCGATTTTTGGTAGCCTTCCCAGAACCCCCATGTAAATAAATATTAAACGTACATGTATATAATTTATACTATAAATAGATATGGCACGTGCTGATAGGGTTAACACATATTGACTATATTGCTACCAAAGACCAACTATATTTCTACCTTAAATCGACAATGTTTTTACCTTAAATCTACCAGAAATATGCCAGAGAAATCTGACCTAAATGAAAATTGTTTCCCGGGACCCCCTCTTTTTAAATAGAGGTGTTGCGTTGCAGCAACAATCTACCGTAGTCACACTAGTCGGAGATCTGGTAGCTAGGCGTACGTGGAAATTCGCTGTTTCGGAACGTCCCAGCAGCTGCATTACTACTACCTAGTACTAGTAGTACTAATGGTAACCGCACAAGCGCAAGAACAAGAAGAACGCAACAGGCGTAGTACTCGGCGTCCCCGTAAACGCAGGGGGGCCACTGCAACGCCTCCACGAGACGTGAACCAGCCAGAGCAATGGGATAGATACTGTAAGATTCTATTGGAGCTAATGGATCATGTACATGGAAGACTGGATGAAGGAGGTCCTATTGAAAATGATAACAATCGATTTCCAAATGATACCGTTTTCACTGAAGAGCAGTTGAGTATTCTAACACCGGATCATATTTACAAGTTTTTTGCAAAGAAAGTCTTTGGNACAACAACAACAACAACAACAACAACAACAACAACAACAACAACAACAACAACAACAACAACAACAACAACAACAACAACAACAACAACAACAACCTCACCCCAGGGCCTCCTCCAAGACAGCCTGCCATACTCCCAGCACTATCGATCCAGTCAGCTAGCAAGAGATGCATGACAATGCATGCTGAAACATTAGCTGCTGGGACAGCTGGAGTATCTTTTGCAGTTGCAGTTGGCAAAAAAGAAAAATCAGCAGCAGCAACAACAACAACAACAACAATGAAGAAGTCCTATTTGCCAGCAGCAGTAATGGAGACAGTTGCAGTTGGATCAGTAAAAACAGGATGCAAGGTCATGGCATGTGAAAGAACAATCCTTGCTGCTGAGAACTTGTTTGGTTCAAGGTCCAGAGGCTTCCAGTGTTCTGTGAGACAAGCAATGTTATTTGCTCATTTTAGTGACAAACAAGAAGCCAGCAACAAGGCCTTGCAAAGAAGAGTACAAAGGTGTATGGAAAGGATGGTTAAGGGATCTCTGGGCCCTCCTGGATCTTAATTATGGTTATCTCAAAACCCTTCACCAAAAAAATCTGGAAAAACTTGCACACCACAGAGGCATGAAAAATGATAATATTCTGCAGTCAGATTATCTGCTTTTAGTAGTTTTTGGTAAGCCTGATGGCTGGAATGAGAACATGGCTTTGGATTTTGCTTTTGATGAGGCTTTTTCAATAGACCAATGCAAAGACGCATGGGGAACCATTGGAATTGCACCATTCACACGCAAATGCCTACAGGACAAAGAAGTGCAACAAGAACTGATCCTTTTGCCAGATGACTCCATCGATCTAGCAAACCGATCCCCCCATAGCTGCACTGGTAGCACATGAGAAAAAGAATTCTGCAGCAATTAAAGTATTGAACCATGATGGTTTTAACGGGGAAGTATTTCTCAAATATGCACATAAAAGAGTACTAAGCAGTTGGTAGAACAAGTGACCAAACCAAATATAAGGGCTCAGCAAGATGCAATTGCAGGCATTGAATATTCTAGCCAGCACTTCATTGCAGCTGCTGGCAGAGATACACTCAACAAGTAGGACTATTTCATTGCCAAGGAAAGAACCAGAGGTTCAAGGTCCAGAGGCATCATACGATTGAATGAGATTGAACACTTGGAAGCAAAGAAGAAGGCTAGAAAAGCAGCAGAAGCTTTGAGCTGGAAAGCTCTTGGTTTGATTGAGAACTTTTCTTCCAAGGGAAAAGATGTTAAGAAGGAGGAAGATGCTAAGTCCCTCCCAGCTTCTACTCTGAAGGTTTTGTGCCAATCAAAGAATCAAAGAAAGACAAGCTGTTGGAAATCTGGATGCAAGTAAAGAATATTTCCCATGCTCCTCTTGAGGGATGGACTGATACTGATGCTAAAGAAACTGCATGAGGATAAGATAACTACTATCAGGGAGACTGCATATGGAATGGGGAGAGAGAGAGAGAGAGAGAGAGAGAGAGAGAGAGATAGAAAGAGAGAGAGAGAGAGAGAGAGAGAGAGAGAGAGAGAGAGAGAGAGATTGAAGAACCAAGGACTGTCCTTCATAGTAGCAAGCTCGACTGACGAAGAAGAGAGAGTTGCCTCTAATATACCAGTTGATGTGCTAGAGGGAGTGAAAGGTAGTAGGCAATTTATGTTAAGAGAAATCTGTTCTTGGATTTGATTTCAATCTCGATTTTACTATTCCATGTTAACAACAGTGTCCGGAAATCCATTTCATTTGCCAATCTGACTTCTCAATCTCAAAAAGTGCACAAAAAACAGCTTGGAAGTACTCGGAAATAGAAAATCCTTTGGTATAAAATGGTTTCTTTTATTTTTGTGAGAGCTTCCCTGCCCTGCTGGTTGGAATTAAGACTATTGTTCCACACATACTAGAGCACTGTAAAATTGATACTGTTAAAAAGCTGTCACATTGTAATTTGGACCCAAAAGGGTACTGTACGGTACTATGACTGTACAATGTAAGTACTTCTTGTTTTTACCTATGAAGCACGCAGTATGCACTAGTGGTACAAGAAAATGGTGCTTTGTAAAGTACTACAAGGTACTTCCTCCAAATAACAAGGTAGTACAACAAGGCAGGGGTCACGAGAGACAAAAAGTAAGTATTTTCTCTGTTCTTATTGCTGTCTGCAGCAACAGTCAAAACTTTTAGGTGCTGACACAGGGCTGGCTGGTGGTAGTACTAACAGACTACTACTACCTAGTAGTACATACTAGTACTCTATTTGCAGTAGAAATAGTCTATCCTTTGTCCATTCAGTCCCGCCAGTTCCTTAGCAAAATTACAAAGTGTCTGTCCTTCATCTGTTTCTCCCACTAGTAATTCCCCCCCAGCAATAATTTTTAGTACAAATAATCTAGTCAATATTCAAAAGTGAAAAGGTACACTATCATTCCATTTGATACTGAAAATATTGGCATTTTCAGAATCCTCATGAAAAACTGGGCTAGACAGTGTACTCAAAAATTCTAATGGTAGTATTTTTCATAATGTTGTAACTGGTGCTTCAAGGTTGGATAGTTTTACTAGTATTATGCAGTGAAAATGAAATTGAAAAAATCCCTGGGGTTAAAATTTTCTATTTCCTGCCACAGATGGAATGTGAGTTTTTGATGCGTTGCCCACCCCTCTAAATTTATGAYCCCCTGGTACAAGTTCGGTAAAAGTGGGTGCTGGTAATCGTAACCCTACCAGAGTAGCAGCGGTTGGAGGCAGACAATCGAAAACGGCTATTTCCTAGCAAACAAACCAATCACGTTCCTCGTCTAGCCTCGAGCTCCATTGAAAATRTTTACTGTAAATGATGGGTTCCATGGTTAGATGAGACCAATGTGAAAACTAGATTCAGCCCCTTTTCCAACCATTGAACATAGAGTACAACAATTTCATACTGGTGGTACTAATAACACTAGAACAAGAAAGTGCACGGCAGTGATCAGTCTCCCCACCAAACCAAGAGTTCCCTCTCCCGTTTTTGTTCTTCTTTCTCTTTCAATTTATGAAACTATTGCTGCTAGCAAACCCTGACAACCCTTACTTCCACAGCGAAAGTCACAGAGGATTAGGCAACAGTGATTGAATGCCATCAACCATGGCTGGTTCATGAAAAGAAGGTGAACTCAATTGCACTAAGTGAATGTATTGTGGCGTTCATAAAAATTTTGTCTTTCTCCCGAGAGTCAGTAGGTTGGAGGCGCGAAAGCAGCTTTTTCTTCAGTGGACACTTTGGCATGGCTTCCGCTCCTCGCCGTTGCATCTTTACCGGGAGAAGTGCGATTCTAGACTACTCATTCTGCTTGTGATGCATCACCATCTGAAAGTGGAACAGGATTTGGTTGGTAGATTGGCTGAATTGTTCGATTCCATTTGATGAGCTACGACGATGCAGCAGTTGTGAAAAAAGTTGACCTCTCCAATTTCATCTCGTTCTAGCTTGATTTCGTTTGCAGTCATCTTTCGTTTCCCTCTTTCAAAAAAAATCGTCCTCGTATTCCTCTGCAGCCGTCGAATCAGCGGTAGCCGCCATCTCTCTACTAGATGTCATCTTGTGGGCGTTGTCGATATGGATGCGATCGTACGACTTGTTGTGCTTTTCGATTTGTTGTGCCTGGTATGCCTTTTTCTTCGCCTTTTGCTCCATTCGATTGTGTTCCTTTTTTTGGCGCTGGATTTCCTTCAGACGGCGCTCCTGACTCTTGCTCAGCATTTCCTCGACTTTATCGAGCTGTTCCGTTCGGGTCTTTTCGAAGCTCTTCACGCGGAAATTGTCCTTTTTTACGCGGATTCTGCGGACGTTGTCGGGGCGGTGGAAACCAACCGTCCCATCCGGCGTCCCGTGAGTCTTCTTCAGGTTTTTCCATCGGGTGTAGACTACGGTCACTTCGCTTTTCTGTTTTGTTTGGAAAATTGATGGGCGGTGGAACGAACAAGGAAACACATAGTTTGAAATGGAAGAAAGAATGGGGGGTACAAGTTAGTCACTGTGAGCAATGCCAATACCGACCCGTGGGAGTCTCCTAAGAAAAGCTCAGATAAACCCCTTAATGTGAATATGCTAGAAAGCAATGATCGTCACAAAAACACAACAAAGTTGTCGTCGGATCACAAAGTTATCATCACGGCTACTATGGATATCCAAATCGTGCTTCTATAATCGATCTGTATATCAGTGAAAACGTTTCTCATTCTGCACCAAGTACAACACAATAATTGCACCAATACACTCACGAACCAAGAAATCCGAACCTATACTAACCTTGCAACCAGCAATGGAATTGGCCTTGACCATTGTCGCACAATCTAGTATTGCTTCTTTTGGTACGTCGTCCATTGTCATTCCCGGTTTCATTCGAAAATACACGTGTGCTGATGACAAGTTGTCCACGTGAAACCAAACATCTTCCGGGTGGCCATATTTGATGAGTAGCTCGTTCTCGCTTTGGTTTTTGCCCATGTACACATCAAAGGTTTGGAACTCGGGGTATTGCTCCGTGGATGAGGCCGATTCGTACTCGGCCGTGAAGAAATAGACCATTCTGCTTGTTTCTCTATCGTATGCTATGTGCTCTTTCTATCGGATCGGAACGGGTTGCCGAACTGTCGAACACAGCGCGGGGGAGTGAAAGTGAGATGCAATCGAACCTCAAGGTGACAACACCGTACGGCATCCGGCGCCCGGGCTTGTTCTATTACTCACTTTTAACTTTGACTACCGGTACGCTCTTCGAAATTAGACATGACTGGGCCTCGTCATAATGGTTAGGTGATGAGTGTTGGAGGAACGTCTTCAGGAGCTTTGCTCATAACCTGTGTGTGAATAGTCAAGTTATTCACTAGCTATTCGGGAATCACTATCCGCACAAGTTAATTGTTAGTACTACCGTAGTACTAAAAAATTATTCGAAGTACTACTGTACTGTAAAAACTAGAAATAATGGTAAATGAAACATAGTAGGTACAGTAGTACATATAGCCGCTACTAGTACTACTAGTAGTAGAGTAGAATRTTGATGATGACATTTACATTGACATTGATGACGGCACCAAGAAGCAAGAGTAAGGAAATAATACTACTAGGGGGAATTCAGTATCACAAAATTGAGTTCTAGTAGTATATGYATTTCTATCATTAGTATAAATTGTTTAGGAGGAGCAAGATCCTTCTTGTTGCTGATGTTGAAATCCTCCTAGAGTTGTCCGATAATGTTGCCAAAAATGTCCGCAAAACTTCAGTTTCCGTTTAAACTTCACTGCACTGCTCGTCTTCCTCTTCGGTGGTCAATGAATCTCTGTCGTCGTCATTCGTCTGCACCATGATCACTGGGGTCTCGTCAACTGGACATCTATGAGCAACTATTGCGGTCACAATGCAATCGCCTGTGATGTTGCATGCTGCTTGGCATCGGTCCATGAACCAATCAATGGCAACAATATACCCAAAACCATGAGGAACATCCGCGGTTCCAAATACCGTGTTATAGGCTGTAATCATCAATACCAGACCTGCCGATGGAACCGGAGCTGTCCCCATGCTTCCAATGGTTGCAATGATGATGAGCATGAAAAAAGACGATACGGTCACATCCTCGCCATTTAACACCGCCAACCAAATGCAGGCACATACAAAGTACACAGCACCTCCATCCATGTTGACCGTTGCACCAAAAGGAATTACAAATCGGGAAATCGTGTCGGGTGCCCTCCCCGTGGATTTGACTGCTGCGAGAGATGCTGGGATGGTTGCAGCTGAGGAAGAGGTAGCAAACGCCATCATTTGTGCCGGGATAAGCTGCTTCAAATAGCCAAATGGATTCGACTTGGTCAGCAGAGCAAATAATCCAATGTAGATGACGACTACCTGCAAACCCCATCCCACAATTGTCGATGCCATCAAGAGACCAATGCTTGAAAACATAGAGAAGAGATCTTCTTGTTCTCCGACAGCAGAGGCAATCARGGAGCAGACGGCAAATGGTGTCAGATCAATAATCCAGCGGATAATGCGTTGGAACACCAAGTCTGTTTCTTTCAGCATAGTCATCAGGCTACTTTCACCTCCGTTCTTCTCTTTGAGAATGACAGGACTTAGTGCGGCACCGAAGAGGACAGCAAAGAAGATGATAGCTGTAAAATTGCTGTCTGCAAAGGCGCCGATGATGTTGTTCGGAACGATTTTCTCGAAAATTCCCTCGTAGACCGTGTCCGAAATCGAAACCTGGGTTACAGCGCTATTGGTTTCAACTAGCGTGTTGTTGAGATCGTGAAGAATAAAGGTAGAGTCGATACCGTCCGCCAATGCTTTTGAAATGCAGGTAATGGTGCCATTCTTGGCTTCTGCTAAAACCGAGTCAGCGTCGTTGCACCCCAGTTGAATGTACAACGGTGAAATCTCCTCTTCGTGAATGTCTTCTTCTGTATTGTAGAGTCCCATAAATGCGAGAGTAGATACAATTCCGAATAAAGCTGCAGCCAGTGTAGTCGCGAAATACAATCCTATGACGGTGTATCCGACCGAACTTGCCTTTCCAACACTAACCATCTCAACAACGGCGACTATGACGTTGACGAAAACCAATGGTAGGACAAAACACTGTAGCGCTCGAAGGAATAAATCGCCGACTAAACCTATCCACTTGACGGCAATATCTTTCGCATCTTCATTCTCTGGCTGCCATGAGGAAATTCCAATTCCTGCTCCGATTCCTATGACCGCGAAAATTAGAATACCCGTAACTTGATAGTGACGGATGAGACCAAAGCACCCGCGTCTTCTCTTCTTGGACGTGTCAGTATTGCTGTCCATTGTAGCATCGTTCTCGTTCGAATTTTGAATTCTTTTGGTTTCAATATCGGCTTTCATCATATTTTTTTATTCTTTGTTTGTCTTTAGTTGTTTTTCTTATTTCTTTTCGTATTTCTTTTGTCAGGGTTTGAATTTGTGAGAACGACGATTTAACAATTCAAAAACGTCTCATTCCATTTTCTCGAAAATCTAACGAAAATTCCTCTTAAAGCCTTGAAAGAAGTATTGTATGCGCCGTGCGTTTTTCGGAATTGAAAAGATGCGTGATCAATTGCGCCATGACTAYTTTTTGTTGTCAAGAAGTCTTGTTAGAGAAGGAAACACACGATCAAAAAAACTTATATATATTCTTAGGCTATAATGATAAAAATAAAAAATGCGGAATGAAATAATAATCATTCTTTACTGTAATGATATTTTCGGTACGCTACTTGGTACCGAAGTAAGCGCGTACGTAGAACTTACTTTTTTTACAGTACAGTATCAATTTTTTGTCGCTTCGTTTCTATGTTCCGCAATCGATTTTGACTCCAGTAATAGTTCTGTATTCTGTACTACATTTACTTTATTTATTTCCTGTAGCGTAATACGTAGGAAACACCATACGCTGTTTGCATTTGTCAACATTCATGTCAGAAGTTACAGTAATTTTCCAATTGGCAAGTAAAACTACACTAATTTCGATGCCAAAACAATTTWACATGCCGTTGGTAYTRTTACAATCAAAGATACTTTCACACCTTGTGTTTCGGTCAGAACCACAATTTCAATCTTCTTTTGCGTCCCAGCAGTTGATCTGATCCTCAAGACAGCTACCCCAATCATTGATCCAAAAGCATATTTTGAACAACCTCACTAGCTAAGCTGATGCAAGATAGAGCTGGTCTCGTTTGCCATCCACAGTTACAACTGGTACTAAGTTCTCTTTAAAATAACGGTTCCACCATTGAATCTTGTAGCCACCATCCTTGCTGCTGTCACTGAAAACACCATTAAAATACTCAGATGCGATCTTCCACAAGGGAGCGGCCATTTCATAGTGATACATGTCCACCTTCGCATACAGAGGAGGACCCCGTTGTTTCAGAAGTTCGACCGAAACCGGATCCAACAAATTTAACCACGGCGGTGTTGGTTTTGTCTTTGTTGTCGGTTGCTTGCTTCCTTCCATGCCTAGGATTTTGAGCAAGAGAATGTAGAGCCATTTTTCTCGCCTGTTGAGGTAGTAGTCATGGGGTGGGAATCCGATGAACCAAATGTTCCAATCTAGCCTGTAGTGATACGGAGCGCAGAAGCACGGCCTCCGATGGATCGATCCAGGCTTACATGGAAATTCGATTTCGATCCACTCCAATGGTTCTTTGCCGTCGTCCCCTGCTTGGTTTATCTTGTAGGCGATAGAGACAATTGGTTCGAAGCGCTGCTTGCCAACGGATCCTATTTTTCGTGCGTTTGTATTATGGAGAGATAGCCAGATTTAAAAMAATATGAACGAAGATTTGTTTTCAGGCAGCTGTAATTCTGTGCTATTGGCTTAAACATGTTCTTCTGGACGAAAAACATTGATACATAATCAAGACAAACAAGAATTGCTTACATACCAAAAGCACCGTAGGTGTTGACCAACCGGAAGGAATCGAAGCTCGCGTTCATTGCTTGCCTGCTGTTTAGCTGTAGTAAGTTTTCCACAGTCGGCTTCGACAAAACCAAAATCATCATAAACAATCCAACATCGATCCAGAGACGGAAACTAGTCCACCTCCATCGATGCGATTGTAAGGATTCAGTGCTGATATCAACGGTGTCGTCATCTTTCATACCAATCTCTGCCGTTTTGTTGTTGTGTGCAGTCAGACCGGAAAATCGTCGGCGAATCCACACCGGATAGCAATTGTCGTCAAGACACGCCAGTGCTGGAATAATCGTGAGGTGGTTCAGCATAGACATGTTTCCCGACAACGCAATATTTATCATAAATCCGGCCTGAATCCATCCCCCCAACCGCACCAATACCAACGAGGCTTTCGACCATAATGACGACGGCGCCACGTTTGTAGTCGGCAATAAGACAAACCAACTGGTATAGACCTGGACAAACAAATCGAGGTCAACGGCTCGCTTCAAAACAAATTGAGGCAAGAAATGAAAGACGAAGGAAAGCGGACTTGGAATCGGCTGCGTTTCAAAGTGGTATAATAGGCACGTCTTTTGAGTCCAGCAGGAATCCCCACGGATCTTGATCATTCCCGCACCGATACTTATCCGAAAACAGAGCCACCGAAATAGATACCACACCAACGGGGATGCTTCTGGTTGCGCTGCCGGTTGGTCACTCGCCGCCAATCGATGTGGTAGCAGCCAATTCTGGCACAAAAATATTGCCAGGAACCCCGTCTCCAGGAGCTGGCTCTCCCATCCATACGCATAAAAGGAACTCATTTCGGCAGACGTTACAATGGAAAAATATGACAGCCAAAGGGCGACCATGAGTGCCATACTGGTAGAGCCCAAGATACATAAGGCGCTAAGGGTCATGCCCGACAAGACGAGGGTCCGCATGGCTCGGTCACTGTGCTCGAAAAACCAAAAGAGAGACGGGTGGTCTACGAATCCCTTCAAACAATTCGAAAACTGCTCTACTGAATAATAATTTTCGAGCTTCAGTAGACTTTTTGGATTGATGGTGCACCCGTAGGTTTTTTTCCTCTGGGTTTCGAGGTAGGAATAGACAGGATTTAAGCCATGGCTTCCCATTAGGCCCTCCCATTGCTGATAGGCTCCGTAAAAGGCCAAAAAGTACATGCAACCAAGCAAACCGAGGACCAGCCTGCCAGAAACGGCGTATGAGAGACCGGCATGGGTGACAGTAGATGTTGATTTTGATTGGTTGTTGTCATTAATGTCGCTGTCAGAGAGTATGACCAAAGGTTCTTCCACTATATCGCTTCGCGAAGCGTATGTTTCCCCGGCGGCATCTGAAGCAGCAGTATTCGATGATGATTCTTTGTTCCTGTCAGCCATAATCAATGATTCGTGGTTGAGTAGGGAAACGACTTATATCTTTAGCTGGTTGTTAGAAACTTGCGATCCGAGAGCATTGTTGGGGATTGAATGAATTGTAAAGGAAGAGTCTCGTTTGTACCGATACATACTCTTCTGAGAGCTGTTTGTTCGAAGCGGAAGTACGGTACCTACCTTGGACTGTTGAATTCTAAAATAATGACAACAATCGAAGATTCTCATGCTCGGTACGCTACGAACAGTATGTGCTGTACGGTACGGTACTGTGTTGAGAACTACGGACGATTTTGCTTCCCTATTTTTTAGGTTGTCAAGAAGATTGGGCCAAATTGAATTGGATATGACTCGTCTGTTCGTTATACGGTACGCATGTTTTGTTGATTGTGCTCCGTGTCGAAGACTACCCTGGTTAGAGATACCGTACCGTGCGTACGGTACGGTATTATTACGAAACTCTAGAGAGACTTCGCCGACTAATTTTTCAYGCGATTTTTTAGAAACGATTTCAGATCCATCCATTCATCCCGTCAATCATCATAGAAGAGCTCTCAAATCAATCCAATCAATAATTATCAATCTATGAAATTGACTAAATTATAAATCAACGATGAGGATATGATATCAATCATAACGATGTAAATTGGGACAAGCGAATTACGTATGAGTTGCTAAACATAAATCATGTGAAGTTGGTCGTCAATTATTTCGATCTACATGCAATGCACAGAGGAAGAACGCGACCACATGGCCGAGCCGCACGCGATTGCCAGTTCGCAATGCAATGGTCCATATTACCGGGATAAATCTATATTGGAAGATTCCGGGGAACAACTAGAATTGATTTAGTCGAAAGAAAGAAAAATCACTCTGGATCGAAAAACGCTAGAAATGTGAGTATCGTGCCAGCGCTTGCATTTTTTCTTGTTTGCACTCCGGCGAACCAAACGACTCGAAAAATCAAACCACAAAGGACCAGAAAGGAAGGGAAGGGGACGATGAGGAAAACCATTATTCGAATCTCATTCTCGGACCATACATACGTGACCGATGACCATAATACCATTCATTCTACCGATGTCCGTTTCTTCCTCCGTTTGCGTCCGTGTGGGCTTGTATTTTGTCCTGCGTTGTTGGTGGACACATTGTATCTCCAGGGCAATCTCACGACGTCTCTCCTTTCCCTTATGCAACTTTCGCTTCCTACCAAAGCAACTCCATTCCTTTTCGTTCATATCCAAGAACGACTCGCGCAAACAGCTTATTTGTATGCTTTATGCCCTCGGCTTGAATCTCTTGCCGGAAGGAACAACGTCCAATGGAGCAAAATCTCTGTTATATTGCATGTAGAACTCTAAATGAAATGAAAGTGTTTTTCAACAAAGTGCCATGAGTCCCTATCGGATGATAAGGAAAAGCTTGTTGATGATCCCAATTAGGACGCTCCTCCTTCTCATTCTTATGATTGGTTTCCCCCAGTTTCATGGAATAAATTTAAGATGCGTAAACGACTAATTTGATTCATTTTACCGCAACCGCGATGGAGCCATTCCGAAATGAGACAGACAGTAACTGGTCCTTCGTTCAATCGAGTGTTTGAGTTGCTTCGAACTCGTAATATTAACAAAATATTAAAAACTCGAAAAACGCATAAAGCCGCTTCAAGTTGCAAGTTGACTAATGTTTTAATAATGGAACCTCAGTGGTGCAGAAATTTACTTCGGTCTACCTTTTTTGAAACCAGAGCTGGTTTTGTTCTGACTTAGGGAATCGCAAATACGAATGCTTGGGTTGTATTTTGCGTTGTTTTATTTCGACAAAACCCTCTTTTCTCTCTTGTTTCGATTTTCAATCATTCGATTTGTCATGTGTACTCTACTTCCATCCCGACTTTGGTTTAAGCGGTCGCTTTCTTGTAGGTTAAACCATCTCCAAACTCGTCGACCCACTCGTCGTTCGCGAAAGGATCCCCACTCCAGGATGTCTGAAATGCAGCGTCATGGTCGAAGCTAGCTGGGTCGTCGATTCGCTTTTCGATGTCCTCCTTGAAGTGGCGCAGCAATCCCTGGATGGGCCATGCGGCGGCATCTCCAAGGGCGCAAATGGTCTGTCCCTCGATTTGCCGAGCAATTTCCTCGAGCATCGGGATCTCGCGCTTGTCTGCGTCTCCCTTCTCCATCCGGATGAGAACGTCCTCCAGCCAAGAGGTTCCCTCGCGGCAAGGGGTACACTGACCGCAGGATTCGTGCTTGTAAAAGTGCGCGAGCCGTCGAATCGCGGCGACCATGTCGACGGAATCGTCAAACATGGTAATGGCCGCAGTTCCGAGCGAGGTTCCAAGGGACTTGAGGTGGTCGAATTCCATCAACGCCTCGTCACAAAGCTCCTTGTTCATTGCAGGCGTAGAGGATCCACCGGGGATACAGGCCTGCAGGGAATCCCACCCGTTCCGCATGCCACCACAGTGCTTCTCGATAAGTTCCTGCAAGGGAATGCTCATGGATTCTTCCACGACCGTTGGATTCTTGACGTGGCCGGAAATACCGAAAAGCTTGGTGCCGCGGTTGTTTTCATTTCCAAACCCGGCAAACCACGAGGCACCACGCCGAAGAATGGTTGGCGAGACAGCGATCGTCTCGACATTCGTGACTGTGGATGGGCACCCAAAAACGCCAACTCCGGCTGGAAATGGGGGCTTGAGGCGGGGCTTTCCCTGCCGTCCCTCGAGAGACTCAATTAGGGCGGTTTCTTCTCCACAAATATAGGCGCCGGCTCCACGGTGCAGGAAAATGTCAAAGTCGTAACCGCTGCCGCAGGCGTTCTTTCCAATAAGGCCTGCAGAGTAGGCCTCGTGGATCGCCTCGTCCAAGACGACCGCCTCGTTGAAGTACTCACCACGGATGTAGATGTAAGCGGCTCTAGCGCGCATGGCATATCCAGCTAGCAAGCATCCCTCGACGAGCTTGTGCGGGTCCTTCCGCATGATTTCTCGGTCCTTGCAGGTTCCCGGTTCGGATTCGTCGGCATTCACAACCAAAAAGGAGGGCCTACCATCCGTCTCCTTGGGCATAAATGACCACTTCAGACCCGAAGGAAAGCCAGCACCACCGCGACCACGGAGCCCAGAGTCCTTGATCTCCTGAACGATCCAATCGGGTCCCATGGTCATGATTTCCTTAGTCATGTGATAGTCGCCACGCTTCAAGGCGTCCTTGAGACGCCAGTCTTGTTCTCCGTAGAGGTTGGTAAAGATGCGGTCCTGGTCCTGAAGTCCGCCGTAGACGCTGCGAAATAGTTGTGTTCATCAGTAGGTTACATTCACGTTGCATCATGTTCCATCGGAGCAACGTGAAACCATTTGCAAAAGAGAAAAAAAGTTAGAAAAAATCACCAACGAAAAACTAATTTGTAATCAATATTTATGATATATGTAATGTGTTTGTGAGAGATACTGGTCTCCGTATTGTTGTATTGTTCGCTCCGGTTTCTCCTCATATAACTCCGCCCTCTGTTGCCGTTCTGCAGTGTCTCGTTTTGTGTCCCGTATCTACTATTATTCAAGAGAGAGTCAGGTTGACTTTCGTTCCTTCACAATCACTCTGGTGCACACCGTTACGGTTACGTGTGGAATTCTTCAAGTTATTCTCTTTGGTTGATATGCTTTGCATCGATCCAACTTTGTACGCAGTGAAGCAATCCATTGTTAAACTGCTTCATTTGTTTTGTACTATTCCATAGAACACCGATTCCTTGACTTACCCGCTACCCGCGAGGACATCGGCACCATTGGAAGAGAAGGATCGGTTGGCCGTTGATTGGACGGCGCGACGGCTTGAGGCCGTCGCTATTCTTCTTGCTGCTACAGCAAAGTAMGCCATCGTCGCGCTGATATGATGGAGTTACCGCTAGAGTCAAAGTCGCTAGGTTTGCTTCCTTGCTCAACTGATTCGTATAGGTGACATGCCTTGTTATCGTGCGCTGCCTGCGATTAGATGCTGCAGCAGTATTACAGTACAGTAAGGTACGAGTACTTGATGATGATGATGTGTCGTTGCCGAAGGCCAATGTGTTGCTGCTACGATGCTCTCTACATAAAATACTTCGTACTATGCACTGTACATAACCGTAGAAAATGGTCCAATCAGATGGCGAACAGAGAATTTAGTAGGTTTTTGTTTTTGAGTACTACTCGTACGAGCACCGAGAGAAAAGAGCTCTAATCGTACTCCAAACTCCAAACCTACAATACGTACGGTAGAGAGGTTCGTACAACTGTACCGTACCTATTACCTAGGGTAACATAATGTACGAACTCCTACTTCGATAAAACACACTCCCAAAATGTAAGTTCGTCTCAACCGAATTCTACCATATCGTTTTGAGTACTGCGCCGACGTAGTACTYGTACGTACTGTCCCGATGGTACAGAAATTCTTTCTGTCAGTCTGAGCAATGGGCTTCAACAGTCGCTTTGATTTTTGATTCATGGACTGATCCGACTCAAGCCAAATTCCCTGGGATTTTTATTCTTGCTATGATTTTTAAGATTACGTACGAGATGTACCGGTGCCTGGTACGTTACCTACCGTACCATTACGAGCACGAGTATCGTATTACTACCGTACCGGCACCGTTACTGCCAATCTACCAACATTTTCCATCATTTAACGTTACAGATTTTCAGTACGAGTAAATGAARGAGGGAACGGAACAAATATCCTTGATAGTAAAATAAAGAGAAGATTATGTTTGAAGTCGAGAGTTTTTTACATATTCAAACTTTCAAAATGACACGGTGATGCATGTCGGATATACATATTCAACATGCCGAGCGTAATTTATAATACAAGGGTGTTCAAGATAGGACTATTGTTCATTCTTTCTTGGGGGTTTGTCAGCGCTGTGGAGCATGTTCTTGGTGTTTCAGAAACAACTACGACGGCTACGACCAATCATATTGCGAAGAGTGCTTCGGGTGACACGGCACCGCTTCGTTTCTTTGCCAAAGACCACACCGATGCGCTGCCTCTGGACCTGCAGATAGAACCCAATGCTACCGAGGCAGAAAGTGCAATCGCAAGCAGACGGGCCACGCCAGCAAGTTTCGGTATTGAAGGGAAAGTTGTCCCAGAAGAGGACGATCGCCCGCCACTGAAAGCTGACACTGCCAGTGGAAACCAGAACGCCTACTCGGCGACGACAAAAACTACGATGCTACTTCTTCTTGGATGCACCGCTCAACAATTGCTGCTGTGATGGTGTCGCGTTGGTGTGCTAAGCAGAACTCTCTGACGCGAACGCACGATGATCCGTAGATTGACCGGGCCACGACCACTGAACCGCAATCTGTAGGTTTAGACCTTTTCTGACACTGGTGTGTTTCGTCAGTCCCTATTCAATGTTGATGATATTGTATTGTCCGCCACGACGCAATGTGGATACAATAGTACTGCTACTAATTCTGTATTACCCCCTTCCTGAAAACATCGTCCGCTTTGGTTTTGATCGAAAGTACAATAAAGTACGAAATACTACTAACTAGTACTGTACTGTAGTGTAATAATAAGACGTTACAGTAAACATTACTMGTAGTAAAGGTACTTCWGCATTTTTTACAAGTTGTGTTCACCTGACATGAATTTTGGAATTCATATATTTAAGCTTACATTGATTTTACTCATTTTTTCCACTTACTTAACTACCAATACTATAGATTCGTACAGAACTTTCAAGATCTGTATTTAGAAGTCGTGTTCAGTTATTCAGTACGTTGTACCTGTAATTTGTAAAGGACGATAGTACGATAATAGTGGGACGAGTTGCATATCGTACTCGTAAGTCGTAGTCATAATTGTTGATCACAAACTTCCCGGAAGACAACATTTTCGATTTTCCTCATACGGTACAAAACTATTACTTCCATAATTAGCTCATAATTTGCGTCACGGAGTAGATAGGAAGAGAAGAAAGAAATTTAGTTTTCGGTCATCATGTTTCGATTCTGTGGCATGGAACTCCGCACGTTAGCTCTGTCCCGTTCGTACTGTTGCGCTTTGGTTGTGGTCTTGTCGGTTGTGCTCGGTGCTGCTGCGGACCTCTTAAACACTGATGGCGACAGATATAGCGCGGCAACCAGCGGCATGGCGCGGTGCGCCAACGTGACGGGTGCGGATTGGTCACTGCAGTCAGCATCGGCATCGATTTCGGTTTYTGCCACCATCGAATCGCACGAAACGGGTGATGGATGGGACAAGTACGCCGACGAATTCGAGGTTCGAGACGCAGAGACCGGCTCCCTTCTGGGAACCCGCACCCTGCTGCATCCCCACGTTAACGAACAACCCTTTACGAGGAGCCTAACGGGGCTGATCGTTCCAGACGAGGTCCGGTGCCTCTCGGTGGCCGCCAGGGACTCCGTTCTGGGATACTGTGGAGAAGAATTCAAGCTGTGTCTCTTTGATAAAGACGAGACGACTACGGAGACGAAAGATCAGGACAGTAGTGACGCTGCAAATTGTGCAGTGCTTGTAAATTTGTTCCAATATTTTGTCGGATTTCTCATTTCCCACGCCGTCCAACTAGTAGTGGGGTGAAAGAACATTTTGAATATTGTTCCTGTTTGATCAACAACCAACACTTTCAATACAATCGAAAATTGATGTTAATACCACTAGGTTTTAAGCTGTAAGATTAGATCCCCAGCATCTTTCAAAAAGGAAGCTTCATCTTTGGTTTGCTAACGACTTGGTTCGACCGCACCACACATCGCATCGATTACTCATGTTGTGGTAGAATACACAAGACTGTCCCCGACCAACAGAGCCCCAACCTCGCTCGAGTTTCGGTCCGCTTCGTCCCTCCGAAGCGTAGCCGAGATCTTGTCGAAGTAATGGTGCCGGCGAGCCCTGCACTGGGTCCGTGTTGTTCGTCGACGCGACGACGTTCGCTTGGTGGCATCGGACTCCTCTCGGGCCTTCAAAAAGGCATATTCGTTGGCCGTTTCCAGCATTCCGATCCTCCGCAGGATTGGTAAGCATTCAAGGATCATGTGGGTGCGATCCCACTTATTGTTCGCGAACCCGAACCGTCCGTAGGACCATTTCGCAAGATCATTGCCCCAGGGTAGAAAATACTCGATTGCGTGCGACAAGAGGCGCTGACTACACTCCGCTCGATTGGTTTCCAAGGATTGCAGCCACTGGTTGTCGCGGGCAATGCTCCAAAAGGACTGTGATGGAAGCGAATTCGTGGAAGTGCTAGACGCCTTGCGAAGGATTTCGGGCAAATCTAGAATCGCCGGTGATACACCGCGAGGAAGATACATGTCTTCTGCGAAGGAAGCACCACCCGAACACGACGGCGACGACTCTTGCTGCTGTTGGTGGTGGGCAAAGCGATCCAGATCTTCCACGGAAAAATTATTTTCTAACTCCTCTGTCGAAATAGCATTGGAAGTAGCAGCATTGCTCATTCCCGAGCAAGCCAGCTGCCCGGCCGCGTCCTCATCTCCTCGAAACTGGTTCATGCAATAGTATGGGTTTGTGTGCCCTTTTTCCTTGCATCGTCGCTGGGATATGTGTGGCAACGTCATGTAGGTTTCTGAGTCCCCGTGAAAGTAACAATTGTCGTTCCAGCCCAGCTCAAATAGCTTTTCTTCTCGGGGGCTGTGTCATAGAAASAAAACCATTGTGAAAAAGTACGATATTCATGAGATGAGAACAAGCAGTCAAAAACAATAAATCAAATCAGTTAAACGTAGAGAATTACGACGAAACCAGGAACACTACGAATCATCCTCGTAACAAAACAAGCAATGTGTTCAGCACTTCACTTACGGTCGGCTCTTCTCGTGCATTCGAAGCATATCTACTCCACCTGCTCTCCCGCTGGATCCAAGGGCGCAATCTTCGGTATAGTCAAAGGCAAATCCGCGGCACGCCCCCGATAAGTAGGGTAGTCCCTCACCAAAATCTTCTAGAAAGGACGCATCGCTCGCATTGTGAGCGCTCTGTGATAACACGTCCAATCGAGCGACCATTTCGAGATCCTCCTTGCTCGTTTTTTTTTGTACCACCTTCGTGGTAGCTGAAGTCCTCGACGATTCTGCCTCTGAAATTGCGTTCTTCCACTGCATCAATCCTACATCTTCGGTTTCAACAGTTAACTTCTCTCTCACTTTCAGCGCGGGCTTGTTTCCGTCAGGAATATTGAATACAACCTCTTCCGAATCTTCAGGTTTGACATCTGACGCCAGTTCGTCCGCATCGTTCTCGTTTGAGTTGGGAGGGGGGAGGTCTTCGGTAAATTCATATTCCACCATCAATGGATTCGTCCCGTAAACTCGAGTTCCGTCGACCAGCTCCTCGGATGCCACGATGCGATTCGAAAGCCCGTTGGCCGGGCCGATATTTGCGGAAATAGAGACCGAAAGAACCCGTTTTAGCAACCTCCTACAAAACGTGGAGCAATCCTTTTCTTCATCAACAACATTGTAGGGAGGACACAAGACAAGCATTGTTTCGTCATCTACAATGTGCGTTAAGCAGTTCCCGTGGGGTCCGATTCGAACTCGAGCTTCCACCGAAAAAGCTTCTGGTCGAAGCGACCCGAAATGTTTTCCCCTCAGCATCAGGACGGAATGTTGGTTCATGGCAATCTTGGAAGGTGTGATGGAATGCAAAACCGGTTGCCAGTCTGGAACTGGCAATTTTTTACGGCATACGGACGTTGATTCTTCAAGCTGCCGATCGCCAATGGTGTTATCCCCCACCATGATGGATGAACGATCAGAACTCGTATCTGCACCTGATGCTGCAAAAACCTGCAGTTCGTGCATCAGTTTTCTCAAATCGCAGCCACAGCTGGTGGCAATTTTTGCCAGTTGTCCGTGAATAGCATCGGGCCCCTTCGCCCTCAACTCGGACCGAATCGAGAGAGCGTTGCCTGGCTGGTGGCAGACCTGCAGAATCTTCGAGGCACATTCCATCGGGGAAGGTTTCTCAAGGAACAAGCGCCGACACGGGAGACTTCCGCTTAAGTGGCGATCCAGCTGCGGTGGACAGGAGTTGGCCGTCAACAGTATTGGACATTTCGTGGCCTTGGCCAGTGTGCCGAGGGCGGACCAAAAGCCGGCATCCCCCTTCCCTTCCGCGTCGTCGAAGAGGATGTCGACCTCGTCGATGAGCACAATGGTCACGGAGGATTTGTTCGAGTCAGGGGGGGGCTCTGTTTCGTCGCCCGAGTCGCCATCGGAATCAATGATCTTGTTCCGGGCCTTCTTGTGGCTGCCACCGCTCGTTTTGGATGCAAAAAAGAAATTGGCTCCCCCCGAGTCATTAATAGTCTTGTTCTTGCTCTTTAGCATGTCCAGAGAAGAGTTGGACTGGGTGGCCTCCTCGATGGCGTGCTTTAGGGCAGCACCACTTCGTGCCCGGGCTGTGTTGATTTCAAGCACCTTGCAGTTCCCGCAGTGCCTGGCAACGGTGTGGACCATAGCCGTCTTGCCACTGGCCGAGGGACCCGTCAGCAAACACAACGGAGCCATGGCGTAATCCTCGGTGTCGAAGTTGTAGTAACACTCGTCGTYGTCGCAGTCGTCGTCGACCAGCCAGTCATCTTCGTCGCGGCAGTGCCTGCGCTTTTTCGTTTGTTTGTGTTTTCGTTTCGCAGATGACTTTCGCGAGCTTCTTTTCTTTCCCCTGGCGAGTTTTCTATGTCGCTCGGCTGCTCGTTCCAGTGAATCATTGCGAGCCACCCGCCAATGGTCGATGTATTCAACGAGCTGCCGAAATATTTCCYGGGAGCTGGCACCCACCAAGCCATCCTTTTCCATCCCGTACGTCTCGYTCCAGGGAAGCAGCGAAAGCGCTCCAGGCTTCATATTGACAGTGGAGGGAGCAACGGAAAAGGTTTCYATCAGGGCGTGCTGAAKCCTGGTAAACCTTGTCGCTGGGACAACGTCGGATGTATCCAARGCCGAAGGAGACGAAAGCCACACAGATGGTTTTGGTTGAGCTTCTTCGATAACAGTATTGGCAATGACATCGCAGGCAGCACGCGTTCGGAACGGATGGTCTGGYGGAAGCATCGTCACTGATGGTTTGGATGATGAACCAGGCCCTCGATTTCCTGGTCTGCCCAAAACATGGTTGGGCACGGGAAACCGTGGAGCCGCCGGTGGCAAGGGCTTGTTTCCGACGTGCTGTTGTTTCTTCCTCGTGGTGCCGCGACTACTCGGTTCGGGATCGTCGCAAACGCTGAGGGGGCGGTTCGTCGTCCCTGTGTCATTGGTGTGGCTATGTTTGGTGTTGGCTTGGGTGTTGGTTCTAAACAASGCCGCCCGTTTCGCCTGCCGTTCCTGCTCCTTTTTCCGCTCGTTTTCCCGTCTCGCAGCCAGTTCGGCCCGTCGTTGCTCGGCCAGAATCTGCTTCGAGGATAATGTGCTGCCTTTGACTTGAAAAATGGAAGCAATCGCCTTCGTGGTGGAGGGAGAGAGGTTTTCGGCTTCCTCGGTGGAGGTGGCAGCAGTTCGTTTTCGGGTAGTTGCAGAGTTGCGACTCTTATCCTTCTCGTTGCCCCCGCAAGTCACAGCKAGATCTACATCTACTACAGCCTTTGGAAGTTTTCGCTTGAGACTCTTGCTTTCCGCTAACACAGCATCGGCGGGCGAAGGGATTTTCCTTCTCGGCGCGAAAAAAGGGTTGGTTACGGCAGAAGATGCGGTTGTTTTGGGGGCTTTCGATTTGTTTGTGGCCGCTGTCGCCGAGGATGGCTTAGCCACAGAGCGCGGATTGAAAAAGGAATGCTGGGGTTGCTGCGATTGAGTCTGCTTTTTCTTGGATGCCTGCCGCTTTGATGGCAGCGACGAAGGCGAAATTTTTTGCCCGTTCGATCCCGCACTGGCAATCGACTTCCATTTCTCTAGGAGAGCGTTGGCTTTCAGCTCGAGGTGTCTTTGTTTGGTGTTCGATTTTTTTAGCTTGACCACAACCTTCCCGATAAGGGTGGTTTGCAAAACTTCTAATGTGACGTCCAGGGAATCCAGACGCTGAAGCATGTTCTGGACCGGCGCTATTTCCGTTTCAGAAAGCATTCCACTCGTTTTCTTCCACCGAGTCAATGTTTTGGAAAGGCTCTCCTTGATAGCCTGCACCGTGGCAATTGTTGTGTCCGGTGCACATTTTTTGGTGACGACGCTTTTGCTGCTGRAAGGATCTCCTTCCAGGTGCTTCCGTTTCTTCGTCGTCCGAAGCGAAAGAGCTTTGGGTTCCGAAGACCGTTCCGGGTCGGGTTTCGTCGCGGGAGCTTTTGTGGGCGTAATGACTGGAGATGGGGGCTTTCTAGGAGTTTGCGCATCYGATTCAAGCTGCGGTTTGTTTCTTCCTTCGCAGTKGCTACAATCACGATCTTTCGCGGCTTTGGTTGAAGTAGCAGCTATCGCAGTTGTGGCAGTCGGTTCGAAATGATTCGAATCGCCTGTTTGCTCCATCGGGTCAAGAGTGTCCTGTGTGATCAGCGCAGCGAAGGCTGGATTTTGGCCTTTCGAGACGGCGCCGTTCGCCGTTGTTTGAGGATGTATCTGCGCCTGCCGTTGGGCGTTTCGTTCGCGATCCAGGGCCGCCTGGCAGACCTCTTCATGGGCCACGGCCTCGTTGAAATCGGTAAAAAACTGGACTTTGCAAACATCGCATCGCCACCGCTTTATAGTGGGAACAGTGGCCTTTGGAAGAGGAACACTCGGTGCTGGAGAGCCCGTAGCAGCAGATCCGACTTGTGCCATTTAGATTGTTTGGTTGCTCGATCGATGTATCTTAACACAACTTTAAACAATCCCTGAATCGGATTTGGTAGAAATGAGCGTCAACTTTCTCGGTTTTGATCTTCCATCAAGCCTGATTACGAGAACGTGTTGTGCTCTTCACGCAACCGGTAGGTACAGCAATGGTAGTACTACCTCGTACTACCTTCCGGACTTTTAATTCCACACAGCTTAAACTTAGCGGAGGGATTTTACGTGAAATCGTGATTCGGTAATTTCGATTGTTCGCGCCCTCCCTGAAGCCATTAGGAAGAGATCGCATCGGAACTCATACTCATGTTTGGCTCGGCTGCCCTGTGCGCGCGGGCACTCCGCGCTACTTTTTGGAGAGTGCTATCAAGTATCCTTATACTCTATGTATCATATTATTAGTATCTATGTATAATATCTCATAGCACCGACCACGMTCCAAATATTATTTGCACCCGGAAGTAACGTCCGKGTGTAATTTAAGGGAAAAGAATAAAMTCTCGGGAAAAGAATGAAGTCCAATCAAATATTAATATTAATACATGAATATCTTATATACGAGCTTGGCGATTACCCTCTTGTCACTCGCTTCCACTTTTTGCATCTTTCGGCGAGGACTTCTGATCYCCCGATGGCGATTGATGAATCGGCAATATGGAAAATTTGGAGGCGCGAAAAGTATCAACAACGTCAACAACAGCAAGAAACCAGTTCTYGTMKGTCATTGTCACTCACAGCAAGATAAATACACCGTTTGCCGAAACGCCATCGTCAAAAGCACAACTGTTTGACTTTGCCCAAACATTTAGAGGTGCAGACACATACACCTGTAGCGATAAGAACGAAGGAGTCTACCGAAAAGGTTTTGTGTCARAGCAGCTATTACTCTTGTGAGCTGACAGAARAAGCAGTTTTGTCGATATTAAAAAGCATCGAGCGACATTCTAGGAGTAATCTACAAGTAACAACACCTCAACCATGTCAGCCGCCTTTTTGGTCGAAAGTCGAGGCACCCCCAAAAGGATGAGCGCGGAATTCAGCAGGGAGGTGGAAGAGGATGGCCTCAAGTTCAGCGTCGAAAATGCTGCTGAAGACATCGTCARCACCCTCTTTTGTACGTATGAGCCGCCTACATCAAAAAAAATGCAGTACAAGGCCGCAAAGGCCTTTCGCAAGCACCCCGAACGGTACAAAAATCGGCCGCATGTCCCAAAAAGTATTCTCAAGTTCAAGGTACCCACCCCCAAGATCTTGCGAAAAAAGCACCAGAAACTCGAACCGGAACCGGCGCAGGACGAGGGCCGCGACGATATCGACGGAGCCGTGCTTTCTACTACAACAGATGGTGGTAAGAAATCCGTGAGGTGGAGGGACCAGCAGAAACCCTACGAAGATCGAGAAGATCGCACCGATATTGAGAACACGGTTGCGGGTCTTGCCTCCAAGTACTGTGGTGGGGCGTTCAACCATGGCGATGACATTGCCGATATTCTCTCGAGTCCGCAGGGACGGGCGGCCCAGACCTTCTTTGGGGGTCCGGAAACTCCCGGAAGCGTGGCCAACATGACCTCGAGTTTGTTTGGGGGAACACCCGCTGCAGCGAACACTAATGCTAATAGTAGCAGTACTGGTTCCGTCCACACGGACACCAAGATATTCTACGACGACTCGGGGAATCCCATCCGGGAAGACGATGTTCCAGAAGACGAAGAACAAGGCTCCTACTTTCCCTCAACGCCGAAGGACGCAGCCGCCTCCGTTGCGACAGAGAATCCAGCATCTCCACAAACCGCCACTCGACCTGGCGGTAACGAAGGGCAACCGAATCTCTTTTGCAGCAACATTCCCTTCATGGATACCGTCATCACAGGTATCGGGATTGCCGGAGTCATGGCCGCTTCCGCTGCCGTCAAGGCTGGGGTTCCCGAAAACTACTGTAACCGTGTCTACACAACGAAATCCCAGAGATCCGCCAGCCAAGAACAAATCTCTGAAGAACTCAGGCAGGCCCAGGAAACCCTCGGTGTGTATGAACCGGAGAGCTACGATAAAGAGCCTGACCTTTCGTCGGGCAGCGGGCTCAAACGCCAATCGACACCCCGAAACGTGCGTCGCAAGGGAACTCCACGCCACATGGACCCCGAGGATGAGCTCCGAGAAGATGTCGAGGACAATGAGACAGTTGAGGACCAATCACAAGGTGGGAACAATAACAGCAATCCATATTCAAGTCGGCGCTCGTATGTCAACAGTGATATTACAATGGGCAATACCACCGTCAAGCATTTTGGCAATGGAAACGCCAGTCTTTTCGACGATATGGAAGAGGATGGTGCCAAATCTCCTTCTATTTCCGGAAGATCTGGGCGGTCGCAGTTTGCGTCGATGGTGGAAGAGCTGAAGCATGTTCAAAAAGAGAGGCGTCTTGGAAGTTCCGTCAAGAGCCATGATCTCAAGAAGCAAACAACCAAAGAAATTGACCATCTCGGAGTTTGTGTATCGTCCATAAAGAACGATTACCAAAAGTCCTGCAAGAGCCCCAAGCACTCAGTGGTGACTTCGAGCTATCTAAATTCTATCAATAAATCTCCTGTTGGTAGTCAGTTCAATGGTGCTGGCCTCCCTGCTACTCCAAACCAAAACCGTCAACTCTCGGATCCCGATCTCTTCGAAAAACGCACTGGTTCTGTGGCCAGCTTGGCCAAGCAGTTCGAGAGCCCACGAAGTAATCGGCTCCCTATCACTGGTCGCAAGAGTGTCGACCCGAGTGAAAGCCGATTYTTTGRTGGAAAGGTAGACTTGTTACCTCCCACACCTAGAAGAAAGTCTCCCGAAACTCCAACTGGATATTCTATGGTCGGAAATAAACTCAAGGTGCACGACTGGGACACTCCTTCGCCGCACTTTAACAACAAGGGAACTCCTTCTCCACGTTTTTCTAGCAATCGGTATACGGTGAAAGATATGATGAGTCCCAAATCTGGAACCACGTATAACACAGAAGCCGAGGTTCGGGAGGCACCCTCCTCGATTTTAGACAATGTTGCAACCCAAGACAGGCCCAATTTTGGGGGCCAACGACCAGCATCGCTCGTGACGGGTCCTGAAACTGTTGACGACGATACTGTAGAAGAGAAGAAGGTGTCCAAAAAGAAAARCAAGAAAAACAAGAAAGGYAAATCGAAAGAGCAACCGGGTAGGAGTAAATCCTTCACCGAAAAACTCAAGAAGTCTGTAGAAAAGGCACAGATCCGGGTCAAAAATGCCACGAGGAAGGTGGAGGCGTCGAGGATACCGGACAAAGAACAAGACACCCTTTAATTTGATGGTGCTGTGRTCGAAGTCGAACCTGACGCATTAACTATAATTTGGTGCGGTACAGAGAATTCACTCTGTAACGCCGCCTTGCTATCCAGAATGTGAAAGAAGAAATTGTATGATTCGATGACATCCATTGAATGAAGGGTTATAATTTATAATCCTCCGACTTTTTGTTGCTACTGGCTAGCATCACATCCTCGTGCTTGCCGATTTGCATTGTATTTCTAAGTATATTTATTTCTAAAGAGGAGACGCGTTTGTTGTAACAATAATATTAATTCAATTCTTTTGATCTGCAAAGAACAAGTTTTGTGTTATTTTCATTTGTATGATAGATTTCATCAAATCGGTGMRATGACGTACGCTACCAATTCAAAACAAAGCAGCCATTGTTCGGCTCCATTCTTTCTTCGAAGTAGACACAGGGGAAAGCACTCATACTAGCACAAACCTATTTGCGCTGCATTACTACTTTTCGGTTAACACATAGTCTTCCTATCAGCCATTTTTTAGTTCTTAAACGCGTTCCCGACGTTGTTTGTCTCTATTACTAGTATTATCAATCAAAGATTACGATGAAAAATCTTGATTCAATTTTGTATACTGTTTCTTCATAAATGATCCCTCCTGACGTTACCAGGAGACTATCCCCTACCCTAAATGTAAGGAATTTATCCACAACTTGAGGAAATACAAACCAGTATTGCTGTTTGGAGCTATCCTATATAGTGAATTTTGATGACATACTAGCCACACAAAATCAAAAGATCAACCAGAGGAGGCCTTCCAAGAAATCCAAACATATTGCACAAAAACCTTCCCTATCTCAGGAGGACTTCTGAAAAGAAACCTGGAGGAATTTACCAGGTTATCAAGACAATWYAGGCCAAAGTTGTACATCAGAWCTGCCAATTTTACCCAGCATTTCTTGTTGTTTTGCCAAATTTGGTACATTACTAGTACTAGTACATTAGTAAAGCTAAGTTAGCCATTCCAAAATGTACAACTACTACTACAATTAGTTAAAAACCATGACAGTACATAGTACACATAATGGGGAGGCACTGCTACCACTGCCTAGTACTACTGCTTCTCAAATTAAAAGGACTACCAATGGTACACATTTAGAACCTGATTCYTTCTGCTGCTACTAGTAGTACTAGTATTACTAATGTTTGACAAGTCCTTCTTGTTTTGAACAATTTGGTATATGAGGTTGCCACGTACAACTAGTACTAGGAACTGTTGCTACTACTATTGGATGTTTTGAAATTCTTTGAAGATCAAAGATAGAATGGAGGAGATCTGGGAATAATGCATAATTTTGAGTTGAAGATCTCTGTCATGGGGAAAAACAAGATGGTTCCTCGTCATCCTCCCATTTGTGATAAGTGTTCTCATTTGAAGATACGACATGTGAATCATGAGGAGGAACAAATCATACAACAATTTTTCTGATGATGTCATTAAGGAGTACGACTGTCATATAGAGCTGGCCCCATAATCTACAATACAGTTGTTGATTTTGGGCCCTTMTTTTCTGTATATTGACTAGTTTGACTAAAAAAATAAATATGTACAAAATGCATGTGCTCAGTACTTTAATCTTTGAATCCTGCCAGTGGTGCAACCAAATAGTTTTGCACACCACATGTGCTCCTCACTGTATTATTTTTGTTTCAACATGTGCTACTAGTGTTGTACCAGTAGTACAAATCCAAATTTTTAATCCCACAAATCATTACACAAAAAAGACAGCTCAAAATCCTGATACAATAGAAAAASATGTAGACAATTAATAAAAGGTCAACTCACTCCTCTAGCCTTTACTATATCTGGGTCCCTATCAGACACTTAACAATGATAGGCACATAAGTCAAAAGCCATACTAAAAAGAGGAATACTCGCTCATGTGGGGGGTTACATCATGGTGTTATTGATCATACTATAAAGTTATACAGGACTGTATATACAGGATTGCTAACAATGTACAATTGAATCATCTTTTTTTAAGTCACTGCTACTATACAATATTTAAATATGCCTCCTTCACACAAATAATAATAGAAGTCATGATAATTATCTGCTACTTAGCACCAGTGGTACTGCTGAGAGGACCAGCTCCTTCTGAGAAGTTATTGAGCATATGTTGGTATTAGCAAATGATGAAGGGCACTACTACTAGTAGTAGTCTTTATCATTTACGTCACAATTCAAATAATCATTCCATGGACCACTACTGGTGGTACCAGTCCAGTAGTATGATGCACCAGAATTGCTGGTACTACTGGTTGCGTTACTAATAGTAGTATTCCKCAGTATGTTGTGAATTTGTGCTGCTAGGTTATGATCACATTTCAAGAGACTACCAGCAATGGGTCATTAGAAGGTTCAGAAAATGTTAGTAATGCTAACACATGTACTACTACCACTAGTACTAGTAGTAGGGTTGTTCCTAAGAAAATACATTTTGGTCAAGCATTGTTAGAGTTATAAAAACCTTACTAGTAGAAATGGTATTTTTTTACCTGGTACCAACACTTATCCAATTCAAGAAAAACATTGCAATACTCAATACTTTACTCTCACTATCAATACAAAAAATAAGTCTTTACTTCTTGTAGTAGTAGCAGTAGTCTCTCTTTGAAAAGTACTATGAAATACAATCAAAAATAAGATTCTGACAAATTGAAAATAAAAAGTCTTCTTCTTTTTGATCATCTGTGCTCACCAAATTAGATGGAACAATGCTCCACCATTTCTGGCAATATTTTCTGTGGAGAAATATGCCAAAAACTATGAAAAAACACTTTTTTGTAAAAATACTATGAMAATTAGTAGTTATAATGCTAAAAGAACCAGTACCAGTATTATTTCAGTTCTRCCACCAGCTAATGCCAAGCAAAATGCAATTCATAAATTATTGACTACTATGGCTACCTCCAAATACAGAATGAGCATAGTCACAAGATCAGTGTGCTGAATCCCACAACTTGATCCTCAAAAATACTAGGTCCTTTGCTAAGATCAAAAGATACATTATTATCTCTTGTCACCCATGGACAAGACTACAATATGTTATGAAGTCTACCAGCTACTTTCCCTCCTACAGAAACAGTCCAAATACAATATAAGTACCAATACTAGTACATTACTACTACTGGTAAATCTGTCATCAAACACACCAGTGCCGTGAGGCCCACACCACCAGCRGACAAAGGTCTTTTCTGAAGTCAAACAAATTAAACCTCCTGCCTGGTCACCAATAGTCTAGTAGACAAGACCATTATCATAGAGTTGGCAGAAAGAACATGCCACTCCTATCATTGCTAGTATTGACACTGGATGTTAGAAAATTAGTTGATCSGTACTATCACTCAACTCGTACCCCAGATAACCAGATTCCTCTTTCTGTTGGCTTCCAATTATTGTGCCTACCATCACTCTTAAGTGACTATTACAGTTCAGGATAGAGCTCAAACTGCTGTCTGTCCAAGATTGAAATAATTTAACAGCRCCATGGTACATCAATTTTGGGCTCTAGAGTTGAATGACTTGTGGGGTAGAAAAATTCAAGAGAAAATTATGGTTGCAAAGCCAAAGAGTAAGGTGTTCATGCAAAAAGCAAATCATGAGATTAAAAAAAACAATACCACCAGTGAGTACATCCATTGTGTACATAGTGGTGTAGATTTTTTGTTTTAGGTCAAAATACTACTAGTCATCATTACACAAAAAAGGATGGCCAAAAATTGCTGACTGCATTGAAGATCTTTCTGTCAACTCTATGATAGACTACTACATGAGGCAACATTCATATCTCTGGAAAATTATTCCAAATACAGTGAAAATTATGTCATTACCACTAGTAGTAGTACTAAAGCTGCCTCAAAACACACTAGTGTGAAACCCTTGCTGACTCTGTCAAAAACAGGCATTTTCTTTAACCAGGATTCGAAGTATTGATGTTCCTCCCTGCTCGTCAACARCAGATAAGAATGGATTCTTTCCTATTATTATGTCCAGAATTTTTATTCCTAGAGAAGCATACCAAATACAGCAAAAATACTACCATGCCTAAAAAATACCACTAATCAATTACCACTCACCATTCCCCACCACCCATCAATCATCACTTTATYACTTACCATATTCAATWTACTCAGTACAAATAAACCTTATTTTCTGTATTCAAATTTATGTTGGCTTGCTGAATCTTGGTATAATTTGAGGTATCAGAATATGGTTTCTGGAGCTGCTTTTTGAGAAAGCAGTTACTTGTGGTTAAGTTCCTCAGAAGCTGTTTGCAAGAGAAGATATGATGAAATCCACAATATTTGCACAATCTATAGGACCCCTACCACTGCTTTTGTAATTATTTGAAATTGGCAATTGATAATGKATATTTCACAACAGAGGCCACCAGTAGACCATACTATGAATGTCATCAATTCTATAAAGTCCTCACACAACAACAAACATTGAATCACCAAAAATGGCAATAAACTATCAAAATTGTAAAAAACTAAGCAAACTAGTAAGAACTTCTTGCTCATAAAATGGAGGAGATTCTATGGTGCAAAGTATTTAACCCTTCTGAAAGACTATTCAAAATGTTTGAAAAGATGGGTGGCACAGAATTGGCTAATGCCTGTTTCTAGTAACAAAAACTTCTTGCCAGCACCATGATGTATCAAACATCTCTTCCAAGGCTCATTGTTGCTGGAGCATCCCAACAATCTAGTATGAAGCTTTTCAATTATGATGTYTCTACTCTTTCTGATAAAGGCACACCTTGACCAGTTGTGAAACCCAACCCTTGACTTGAAGCCATGTGACATTTTACCCTGTRAAGCCAGCAGAACAGTCATCTTCATTTTTTAACCATCAAGAAGTCCAAGAATTGAAACATGGTGAGGGTGTTGGTAAATCGGAAATTTGCCAGAGAACTGGGAACCCAAAGCTCCCGGGAATAAAGTCCTCTTTGCATCATGCTGCAACATGTAGTATGGCAGCTTGGTTAGAATGAGGAGCAGGAGTCATACCGATACTGTTAAAAACCAACCCCCCAACCCCCCATTCAAAACTGTCTAGTACTACTACTAGTAGAATTAGACTGGATGAATGCAACAAGCAATCCACAAATTATTTTAAATTTTGACTCCTTTCAAAGTGGGCTGCCATGTGATRATGCCCTCTTTTTAGTTATTACCTTGAACCATATCTCTAAGATTCCAAATTTCAAAAATACTAGCACAGGTACCAGTCTGTCCCTTTTATATTTGTCTACCAGTACTACTAGTAGTACTACTACTACTAGTAGTAGATGATTTAAAATAGCCTGTGTAGTAGATGTTTAGTCAATCTAGATTACAGAAATGGAAATCACCCGATGGTTGATTCCTTTTAATCTAAATTGACTAGATATCTGCCTGTCTATCAAATCTAGTCAATCTAGATTGTTAACTAGTTTGACCCAATGGGCCATTTCTTTTATTRTTATTGCTACTACTTTTGATAGACAGAAGAATGTGCTACAGGAGGCTGTTTAGCAATTGGAGAATACTAATGGGAACAATGACCAAATAATGGGTCATTCCTCAAAACCTTGAAAYATGTCCTTGTTTTTGACTGGTCAGCTCTTTTTAGTATGTGTGTCAAATACACAGATTTTGGTTACAGTGACRAGCTCATGGCAATCAGGATCTATGTATGGAGACATATTTTTAATGTTGGAATCCTTGACTGAACAGATTCAGTGTCACTGGGTGCATGCACACTAAATGATATGCATGCTATATAAAATGGGATTCCAAATTCCAAAATGGGGGGAAATGTGCACTTTCAGCAGCAAGCCTGCAGAGTCTTTTTAGTACCACTGAAATGGATTCCTGATTAAAGTATTACTACTTACTAGTACTCCTCAGCAGAAATACTTTGGTTTCAGGAATGACCCAACAATGGGTGATTCCGGTTCTTAATCTACTAGTAGATGGCCTACTTTTTGACAGACAGACAGATTAAAAATAAACAGTCTAGACCCAATTTTTTGACTTTCTGTCAATGCACAATTCACCCTTCTTGACAGAAGATCTAAATCTAGTCCCAAATCCAAGAATGAAAATCTTAGTACTCAAAAAGCACGGTCAC